ACCAACGGCCTGAGGGGACGCTGCGGCGCGGGCATCTTGCCCCCAGCGGCCGCGACCCCCGGGCCTACAGCTCTCTCGCCCCCACTCCCCGCCCTCGGGTACCGGCCTCCTCCCGAACGGGAGGCCGCGGGAAGCTCCCCAGGAGCGGGCCGCCGCCGCCGCACTCACCTACGACCAGGAGGACGTCGGGCTGATTCGGCAGCTCCGGCCCCAGAGCCTCTTCAGTCAAACCCCACACTGAACAACGGCCCCCAAAGCCGCCTCACCATTTCCGACCGTCGCGGAGAAGCGCGTCCATTGGCTAGAGGCGGCCCCGCCTGTGCACCCATTGGACAGCACCGCTGTCGCTCCCAGGACCCCGCCTCCTGTGCGCCGATTGGCTCCTCGGAGCTCTACGGGGGCGGGTCCGTGGAGTCCCAGCCCTTGCACATCTGGAATGAGAGACAGAGACCTAACCTGTTCTGGGCCTATCAACTGCCTGTGGCACAGGCTAATAATATTTGCATGAATAATACTGGACAAACATTACTAAGACGCCTAATATATTAAGGTAATTGTCTTTTGTCCTCTTGTCATGAGCCATTAATACTTATTAGTCACTCTTTTTGCTATTACAGTGCCCTCTGGCAAGCAATATATTTGCAAGGTTCTGCCCATATTTGAGCACTTCGCTTTTTGCGGTGGAAGAGTGAGCGGCTGAGGCAGAGGATTGAGTCCCAGTTTCACTCCTTGCTACCGTATGGATTGTCTGAACTCCTCTTCCCTCATGAATAAAAGATAAATAAATAAACATTTAAATATAACCAAGAACATCCTATATAAAATACAGCAATTTCAAATCATGATTTTATTGTAGGTACTTGCAAATATTATGAGATAGTGCTAAGAAGGAAAAGCATGTTACAAATTATTTATTTGTAACAGGACAGGATATTTTTAAAATATATTTTCCCAATTTGTTTTATTTTTTAATATATTTTTTTATTTCAGAGAGGAAGGGAGAGGGAGAGAGAGATAAAAACATCAATGATGAGAGAGAATCATTGATCAACTGCCTCCTGCACAGCCCACATTGGGTATCACTGCCTCCTTCACATCCCCACCACCAAGGCATGTGCCCTGACTGGCATCAAACCGTGACCTCCTGGTTCATAGGTAGGCACCACTTAGCCATGCCAACTGGGCTGGGACAGAATATTTAGTGTAAATAGGCAGTATAGTCTGTGTGATTCCAAGAGTTATAAAGTTAAAAAAAACAGGCAATATTAATTGAAGGTGAGAGAAGTCAGAATAATGGTTCCATTTGGAGGCTGTGGACTACAAAGGAATATGAGAAAGTTTCCAAGTCCTGAAAACATTCTATAGCTCCATCTACAGAGTGGTAAACACAGATGTACTAGTAAGTAGTCACTAAGCTATACACTTACCAGTACGATTTAAACACTTTATATTGTGTGCTTAAATGTTTTTTTCAAATTATTTTTATTGATTGATTTGAGAGAGAGAGAGAGAGAAAGGAAGAGAGAGAAACATCGACCTGCTCACTCATCCATGCACCCATTGGTTGACTCCGGTATGTGCCCTGACCAGGAATGAACCTGCAATCTTGGTGTATGGGGACGATGCTCTAACCAACTGAGCTACCCAGCCAGGGCATTACCTTGTATGTTAAAGAGAATGTACCATTCAATATTCTCTTTTTTAAAATATATTTTTATTAATTTCAGAGAAGAAGAGAGAGAAAGAAACATCAATGATGAGAGAGAATCATTGATCAGCTGCCTCCTGCACACCCCACATGGGAGATCAAGCCCCCAAGCCCTGCATATGCCCTAATCAGGAATCAAACTGGTGACCTCTTGGTTCCGGGGTCGACCCTCAATTGCTGAGCCACACCCAGCCAGGCTGTTCTATCTTTTTATACTACATAATCTCTTGGAGATCTATTCAATATTAGCATATCTATCTAGAGCAGAGGTTCTCAACCTGTGGGTCGTGACCCCTTTGGGGGTCGAACGACCCTTTCACAGGGATCACCTAAGACCATAGGAAAACACATATATAATTACATATTGTTTTTGTGATTAATCACTATGCTTTAATTATGTTCAATTTGTAACAATGAAATTGGGGGTCACCCCAACATGAGGAACTGTATTAAAGGGTTGCAGCATTAGGAAGGTTGAGAACCACTGATCTAGAGTATATATTTTTCTATTTCTTTTTTTAAAATATATTTGTATTGATTTCAGAGAGGAAGAGGGAGGGAGAGATAGAAACAGCAATGATGAAAGAGAATCATTGATTGGCTGCCTCCCACATGCCCCTGATGGTGATTAAGCCCGAAATCTGGGTATGTGCCCTGACTGGGAATCGAACTGCGACCTCCTGGTTTATAGGTCAATGCTCAACCACTGAGCCACACTGGCCAGGCTATAATTCTCTATTTCAATATTAAATCTATTGTCTGGATATAACTTATTCAACCAATTTGTTATTTTTAATAAAATATAAGTCCAGAGTTTCAGCACCAGCCTCACTGATTTGCTCAGCAAATGTAGAGTGCTTCCTATGCGACAGGCCCCAGATAAGAAACTGGAGCTTCAGTGGCAAACAACAGGACAAGCTCCTGCCTTCCCAATAGTTTGCCAGGGAGACAGTCCCAATGGTAATGATAACAAGTGTGATACATGCTGTGATATAATAAAGAATATACAGGTTTACCCGCTACCGAAAGTAGAGCATTCCTGTGAAACCTTTCATAAGGTGCAATGGTGCAAATCAAAGAAGCTATTCCCTTAGGACACGTCTTGCTAACACATCGCAACTTAACAAAATAAGTTGAGCTAGAGCAGATGCTCACAGACACCGTTCGAAGCTAGAGCAGCTTGATGCTGAGTGCAGTTCCTGGGGAAGGAGCTCAGTGATGCCACCCTGGGGGCTCCAGGTGTGCACGGCCTCTACAATCGCTAGCCGTCCATTTTGTACAACCCCTGGGAGCACCCTTCTAGTTGCTAGATGGGATGCTGCCCAATCCATGCTTCGCTTGATAGCGCCTATTAAAACTCCAAATTAGCCCTAACCGGTTTGGCTCAGTGGATAGAGCGTTGGCCTGAGGACTGAAAGGTCTCAGGTTCGATTCCAGACAAGGGCATGTACCTTGGTTGCGGGCACATCCCCAGTGGGGGGTGTGCAGGAGGCAGCTGATCGATGTTTCTAACTCTCTATCCCTCTCCCTTCCTCTCTGTAAAAAATCAATTAAAAAAATATATTAAAACTCCCAATTAGCTCAGGTGGATTTTGTTTTTTAACAGTATGAGTCTTTGGGTCACAATATTTAGGTGTAGTTTCTACCTGTAGTGAATTTAGATTATTTGTAAACAGGTTTCTGAACTTTGAAACAGATTTTCCCATAGAAGAAGTGTTATAGTGGTGATTCCAATCTCCAGCTGATCCATAAATGTTATTCAATTTATAACAAAACCTTAGGTCAATCTTGTGAACTAAATAGAATCCTTCAAACAAAATCTCCTTCCCCTACCCATATACCCTGCAACAGAAAGGGAATAATTTTTTCTCCCTTGAAAGTGCTTTGCTTTTTGTGCTGGCCAGTGTGGCCCAGTTGCTTGAGCATCGTCCCATGCGCCAAGAAGTTGCTGGTTAGATTCTCGGTCAGGACACATGCCTGGATTGTGGGCTTGATCTCCAGTAGGGGGATGCAGGAGGGAGTCGATTGATGTTTCTCTCATCAATGTTTCTTTCTCTCCTTCTCCCTCACCTTCTCTCTACAATCAATAGAAAACATATATTTAAAAAAAAAACTGTTATGCCTTTTGGCTACGCAACTTGTCCACGAAACTTCTAGGAAGCCAAGTTATATCTGAAATACTAATGCTGTGTAATTACAACGATGTCTATTATTGTTTTTTAGGGATGAAAAATAGCAACAAATAGTCCCTCCAAAGGAGACCACTTAAATTATAAATTATACTTCAATAAAACTATACAAAAGGTAAAAAAGAAGTAAGTATGAAAAGAGATGCAAAATAAATTGTCTTATGAAAACGTTGAAAGACCAAACATATTCATAGGATTTAATAGGATTTTATGTTTGTAAACTTTGGGATTTAATAGGACAAATATAAAATCTTATTAATAAAATCTTATTAATATGTTCAGTTTTATATTTGTAAATAATATTAAAAATAGTATTAATAATCATAAACTATTTATCTAATAATATATGTTAGAATAGCTTAGAAATAGGCTGGAGGAAGAATCCATTCCCCGTGGTGGCCTGTGAAAGGTTAGGTTTACAAGGACATTCACTTCCTACATTGAATAATCTTCCAAATAAGAAAGAAAAAAATAAAGAACCCATATTTCTCTCTGTACTCCTTGCTGCACACCATGTATTGATGAGACAATTATGAACCAGATTTTTACATTTGTTGATGGCTTTGCATGACTTCTTGTTTGAATAATCTAAGGCATAATGTATTTTTTCTTTTTTACCCTATTTTTTTAATTTTATTAAAGCATAATTTACAAACAGTGAAGCCCCAATTTCTTTTTTTAAAAATATATATTTTATTGATTTTTTTACAGAGAAGCAGGGAGAGGGACAGAGAGCCAGAAACATCAATGAGAGAGAAACATCGATCAGCCGCCTCCTGCACATCCCCCACGGGGGATGTGCCCACAACCAAGGCACGTGCCCCTGACCGGAACCGAACCCGGGACCCTTGAGTCCGCAGGCGGACACTCTATCCACTGAGCCAAACCGGTTAGGGCACGAAGCCCCAATTTCAAATACACAGTACAATGTATTTGACATATGTAACTATGACTATAATTGAGATATAGACTATTTTGATCTTTCATCAGTCAATCCC